GTACTGTCTGACCACGCTACACGTTTTCCCATCTAGCTCCCACCAGCTGTACGCCATTGGCGGCAGTCGTTACCGCAGCTGGGGTTACTCGGGGGGGCCGCGACCTGGTCTCAGGCTGCGTCAAGTCCATCCCCCCCATCAGAGGCCCTGGTGAAGGGCAGCCTGGGGCTTAGACTCCGCGCCCTGAGGGACTCTGGTCTGTGGGTAGTGGCTGTCATCAGTCGCTGCATGACCTTACCATAGGCCTGCCTGCCCATTCCATCGCTCCTGCCCTGACAGTTAATTGGATCCTGTCTAAATTGGCCCTAGTATGTGTATGTATGAATGTAAGCTAGGAACCTTAGATTGTATGCCCCTTAGGAACTGATGTGAATGTACTATATATATATATATATATATATATATATATATATATATATATATAATGTAAAGCACTGCGTAAATTGATGGTGCTATATACGTTCGTATTCTGAGCCTGATTGTCAGTGAGGCTTCCCCTTTGCAATCACCTGCCATGGTCAGAATCCTGTAGGCCTCTTCACTAGAGTACCTTTTGTTGGACATTTTGGCCACTAAATTTATAGGTACCTAGTGTGACTTACGGGAAAAAGAGCACCTGGCTGTCAGGGACTGCTTGAACCACTACAAAAAAATGTACCTGCTATTGAAAGCAGAGATCAGGCCTGCTCTTGCTAACTCTGCAGTTTTGTGTGCAGTGTATCAAGTGACAATGATCTACTAACACTGCACTTGCTGGAGGAGAAGGGGGGGGGGGGGTTAAAGCCTGTCTAATGTAAACACAGATACAGGAAAATCTCTGATAGGGCAGTGATCAATCACCAGATCCAGGCCTAACATCACTGGCCAGAATCTGCTGATTGATCGGTGCAGCACCGAATCACGGCACTGCCGTGCCATCGAGACTGCAGATCACGTACGTATATATACGTGATTTTGTGCAGGGAGTCCGCCTTGTAGCAGTAATCCTGCCATAGAGTGGAGTTAAAGTGGTTAAGATGCTGGCTCAGGGATTCCTATGTAGTTCTTGACTGTGTTTACAAAATTGTGACATAGATCACACCCTGCAGCAGCCTCATTGTGACTTACTACAAAGCTACGATGTTGTAGTCTGACCATTGGGGAACAAGAGACTGAAAATGCTTTCTTCTGCCAGCAGCAGACTTAAATTATCTCAGCCCATGTCACTTAGCTAGAGTGGATAGTTTGTGAAATATCGCAGAAATGTAATCATGCAAAAAAAGTTATTGAAATGTCCACTTTAAGGTTTGAAAATGAAATCTCTGTTAAAGTGGTTCTATGGGCTGAAGGTCTTTTACCTTCATGCATGCTATGCATGAAGGTAAAAAAACTTTAGTGTGCATCTCCACCCCAACACTTACCTGATCCTGATCTCGATCCAGCATTGTGCACAAGAGTAACAGCTCTACCGGGTCCCTCTCTCCTCACTGACTGAGTCACAGCTGTGGAGGCCATTGGCTTCTGCTGCTGTCAATCACAGCCAGTGGGGAAAGAGCGGGGGCAGGACTGGGCTACGCTCTGTATCTCCTAACACACAGAGGCAGCTCAGGAGCAAGCACGCACGAGTGCTCCCAGAGCAAGCAGCTTGCTCTGGGGGAGCTCCGCAAGGAGGGGGGCCAGAAGCACCAGCAGGGGACCAGAGAAAAGGAGGATTGGGGCTGCCCTATGCAAAACCATTGCACAGAGCAAGTATGACACATTTATTGTTTTAAGGAAAAAAAATAAGCCTTTAGAACCTTTAATAACACAGAGCAGTCAATTATTTACATAATTAGAAGCACTGTGAATTTGCAAAAGAAAGTAAGAAGAAACTCTGAGATTAGTCCTACAATAGATGACATGGGAAAAGTATGCCTTACACTATTTTTCGAGCATTGCGATACACTGAAGTGTTACATGTTAGAAACTGATAGTACATGTACTAGAGAACAAACGGCATGTGGTAGAAAGGCACAGAAAATCAATAATGTGAGTTGAGGAAAAATTTCAATAGGCTGGAAATTTTTATATATTCCTTTCAGAGTTTTGATGAGAATCTTTTAAGTGCAATTGTAAACTGACAACCTTGGTAAGCAAATAATCCTTTACATGAATAGTTAAGAAGAAAGACACATACATATTAACAACATAAGAACAGACCCTTCAGTTTATGCCTTATAATTTGTCAGTAAAGAGCACTAAATGTGATATATTTAGGGCCAGGTCAATCAATAGCAACCTTTTACTTTCTGCCTTCTAGTGTTCTGTTCAGTCATGAAAGAAATGAAGCTTTCCAGATTGTGAATGAACCAATAGCTTGGCCTCAGAAGACCTTGTCTGGGAGTTGAGATGAAATACTTGGTATAAGCAGAAAACTAATTACAGGTGTCTGGCTAGAAAATCCAAGCTATATCAAGGCCTAGGGCACTGCTGTTCTTATAACTCTGAACATGAGTTTAATTTGTTTCTTTGTGATAATTCTGACATGAATCAAAAATAACAATTCACAGTTCTATACAATTCCCCACACATTCAAATCAAAAAGGTTTAACCAAAGGACAACTGCATAGCAATTAATGTTGTAGGTTAGCCCATGGACTATGTCTTGTAATTAAACAAAAATAAATGGTCGGATGTATTATAATTACAAACATATGCTATATGTAAATATAAAGTACCTGGACATGTACCAATGTAAAAGGACACTAAAATGACAGTGCTGGTGCTTTAATATGCAAATGCAGACCTCAACTGTAAAGCAGGCTTGTGGACCCTACCCCTCCCACCTTCTAAGCTGATTAGTTAATATGGTCACCCATTATACTCAGGGATCCATAAAAAGGAGCAAAAGCCATGTTTGTCAAGGGTTTCAGGGCTCCTTGATCCTGAAACCAAGAATAGAAGGAAAATCTGGTTAGCTGCAATAAAATCATGTTGCCATTTTCCATTGGTACACATGAGTAAGAAATATGTATGAATGCATATACAATACACTGGCTATAAAAGATAATCTCAGCAAATGCCATAAAAAAAAGAATGCAAGATGTCCATGATCAGTAGGATGAAGTAGTGATCTCCCAGATAACAAATCTCAAAGAAAGCGAGTAAATTAACCAGTGGTTACTTTGGAAGACTTTGTAATAGCACTCACTGCATAAAGGAACAAAACCTTGAACCTTTACAACCACTTTAAGTGCATTTCATTTGTATTAGTTCTATTGTAATAACATAAAATGTTAGAAATGATCACCTGAAAATAATATTAAATGCTCTTTAATAAAAACAATATTTTATATGTTTACGTCTTATTTTGTGGATCAATAGAACCAAAACACTTCATTAACTCAGCTGATGTCTGCAATAAAGTCAAAGGGCTGATCCCTTCATTTTCTAATTAACAAAGCACATGGTCATTTCTGCCATATATACTTGACAACACTATATCAACAAAATGCCACACATACTTAAAACTGTAGCATTTATAAAGCACATAGCAATAACAAATGCAAAAAATAGCATTAAGTTTAATTAGTTCCTAAAGACAAAAGTGTTTTTTAGATTCCCATAACCGTAGATAACAAGTTGGCAAACCTATTCGCTTTCTGTACAAAACATTATAGAAACATGTAAAATTATACCATTTAGGGTACTTGCACACATTAAAACACTGATCAGTTGCTTTCCAGCCCTCTCAGAGCGAGACATTATTTTTTCTGACTCCCTGTTCAAGTGTCTTGTATTAAGAAAAATGCAAGCGAGTTTGGAACAGCGGTACACAATAAAATTTTGTGTCAAATTGCGTAAAAGTGCATCATAATTGGTGAGGAAAGCTTATGAAGAAGCTGTGCTATGATCTGCACAAGTGTACTGATGGCACAAGGCCTTTAAGGAAGGATGAGAGGGTGTTGAAGATGAACAATGATCAGGATGCTCCTCTTCATAAAAAATGGAACAGAATGAGGATGCAGTGAGGTCTGTTCTCAACCATGACCGATGGCTCACTATCAGAATGATTGCAGAGGAAACGGGAATTACCAAGTCAATTGTTCATGAAAATAATAAAGATGCCAAGTCTATGACTACCAATATTATATGGGTACCACAACCCACCACTACTATATAACAAAAAGAAAAAGAAAAGCAGGGTGGGATTCTCTAGGTACAAATCAACAACACTAGTAAGATAAAAAATACAATAATTTTATTGAACAAATTTAAAAAATAACCATATGACTCAAAAAGTTTGTGTCACATGTATATTTGTTACTTTGTTCAATAAAATGATTGTATTTTGTGTCTCAATTGTGTTGTTCATTAGTACCTAGAGAATCCCACCCTTCTTTTCTTTACCTTTTTTTTTAATTGTTCATGAAATTGTGACTCAGGACTTGAACATAAGAAAAGTGTGTGCAAAACTTGTTCTAAAGAATTTGCCACCTGATGAGAAGGTCATCTCATTTGCCAAGACCTGTTGGCACGTTTGGACACCATTTTGGTAGTGTGGATAACGTCCAAAGAGCCACTACGCAGGCTCTGAATGCTATCCCACTTGAATACTTCTAGGGATGTTATGAAAAATGGAAAAATCACTGGTTGTGTACACTCACAAGGTGCATACTTTGAAGGAGACCATGTTTCAATTGTAAAATTTCTCAATAAAATAATGTTTTAAATAGCATACTCATTACTTTCTGGACACACCTCATAGTACAAAGAATTACAGTATGTGAAAGAATTACAGTATGTACCAAATAAAAGCTATATTTCCTTAAAAAAAATTTAAATTATTTAGGTAGACAGATTAGTTCTAGGGTCTAGTAGCTAAATTTAGTCTGAATATTTAGGATTTATAATCCTCAATTATGAAGGGATTAATACCATGTAACCTGTGAGCTTGCAAGGGATAAGGATTTGCCTAGTCTCGGTCATGAGTCATTCCATAGGCATTCTTATCCCTGTATAAAAATGTGTTTTTTATTTACCTTTCTTACAGTTTTTCCATGCCACCTTTCTCATCTTTTCATAATGAAAATTGAGCCAAGTAAGAAGAATTCTTTCTGATGTGGAGTATATATTACTTGACAAGGGCTCGGAACTGATCTTTGGCATGCAATCTATCACACTCTCATCATCAGTATTTGTTTGTTCAACACGTGAAAGAATCAACACCTATAGAAAAAAATGCAGTATAAGAAAACCTCATTTAATGAAGATGTGAATATTTGTAGATCTACAGCCTATCAGTCAAGAAAACCTTGTGTACTTAAAACGTATTCCCATTATTCAGAGGGTTGTGATATTTGTACAGCATACATAGAAAATCTAGTTATGTCAAAGAAATATACATCCATGAGGCTTACATAAATAAAATAGAATATTTTATATATAAAAAAAATATTTTATCTTTGAATCACAGCAAACACAAATTGTGGAGATTAGTTTCCTTTGCACCAAATGACCTTTTGAGATGATTTTTCTGCTGAAAGAATATTTTTGTATGTATACTGTTTGGATCTGAATACCACCACACTTAGCCTTTTCAATCAAGTTTGTTTGATTAAGTAGTGCAAAAAGTTGTTATATCATGCAAAGTGCAAAAGCCCATACAGACCACCTGCATTTCTGTTTTCTAAAGAGAAGCAGTAAGGGTTCCTTTACATATGGGGTCAGAAGATTGCAGAAGATTGTAAAAAACAGGCAGTTGAGTCATGTTTTTACCACCCCACAACTGTCCCCCTTACACTGCAAAGGCAGCTAGACAGGGTTGTACACTATTCACGGCCATGATGTTTTGCTCAACAGCTAGGAAAAAAATGATCCTCCTTGTTGTGTTCGGCAGGCAGTACCATCACTGAAAGCGACTCATTCAACTGAAGATGGCTGTGTGCCCAACTGCCCTGCAACCACGTGCAATGTATGCAGTTGTGGCACAGTGGCGCAGCATTTACATGGTTAAAACAGGCGTTGAGGGGTCAACATAACGCCTCCTCAACACCTGTCAAACTTTTCTGAAAAGCAAGGTATTTGCAGCTATCATAAATCTGAACTAGCCTGAGACAGCCTGTATACACTTTTGAATATATGGCTCTATAATATTAGGTTGTATCAGTACTATAATCCAGCAAGTGCATTGGACCACAGTTACATAGAGTACATACAGGAATATTTTGCATGGCTCCATTTACTTTCCTAAAATGAGGAATAAGCCTCTTTTTTATCATCTTTGAAGGGAGACCTGCACATTTTATAATAAAAACTAGCTTGTCAACCATCAAAAGTAACTATTAATAATGGATAACCATAGGCAATAGAATCACTGTTCTGTTTTTATTGTCTTTGTGTCCATTTAAAGCCTCAGCCAATCAGAGGATGCTTTGTATTCATTTATAGAATACAAGGCTTCCAGTGAATGGTTGAGCAGCACTGAGAGCAGGATGGAAAGTCTCAGTCTTACTGCCTGTATACTGTATGTAGCTAAGGCTACATATGTTTGATACAGTACTCCCAGTAAGCATACCTGTTAGTGCAGTAGTTTGTTTGGGCCAGCTTGGCCCAAAGGAACTATTTAACAAACTCTTTAAGAGGGACATTAAACATAAAGCTTTAAGAGATATCACCTTACTTTCTGTCTTTCTGATGAGCATCAGGAAGAACAGGAAGTAAGGGGAAATCCCCCCTACTATATATTAAACACTTTTTCTAATTGAGTGAGGAAGGTTTAGAATTAATGCCAGAACTGTATTGCTATCTGTGTTTCTATAATGGAGTTTTCCTCTCACTTCCTGTCCACAAGATATGTCTCAAATAGAACAGGAAGTGAACAGAAATCTCTTTTATGGGTACACAGGCAGCATTTCCTGGCTGAAAGAAAACTACCTGAACAGAGACAGCATTTAAGAGACATTTTAATGTATCCCTGATTATGCATTCCAAAATGTTTTGGCTGGAGTTAAAGTTTAATCCATCTTCAGCATTTAAGCTTTCTGTAAACATTGCAGTCTGATTAAACAAACTTATTTAGATCTATTGTCTATTTAGTACAAAAGCCTACCCTGACAGAATAAAAACTGAGTTTTTTTTTTGTTTTTTTTTTGTTTTTTAGGTAGGGCTCCTACTACATAGCTTTGGTAGATCTATAGAAGATTTTTATAGTGATTGCACTTTCGGATTGCAAGGTATATGGCCATCTTAACTGATAAAAAGGCAGCAAATGAAAACTGTATGGATTAGTTAGCTCATCACAAATAGAAATCTCTCCCACCTTATATATTTGGAGCAGTACATCTGTCCATGAACGTTTACTCACAGACTGAAATGCACTGTAGTTAATAGGAAACAGAACATTATTAGCCGGATCTGCATTCTTTTTGCTCGAAGTCTGCAGCTTTTGAATCTGATCCTATAAAGACAAAAATGTACATATTTATGTAATGTATTTTTTTTTTTTTTTAGATAAAGAACAACTAAAAATAGACCACAGTATGTTTTTTTTGTATTGTTCATCATTTCAGTTTCTGAAGACTTTAAGAAAATGACTTAACTTTCTTCCCATGGGGCTAATGCAGCTTAGTGCCAGCTGAAGTGAGAAACATCACTGTGTTGGCTGTCATGGTGTGCATCTTGGTTCAATAATCTAAACCAGTTATATAATGTTATTCTCTGAAGTGTAAATTGCCACAAGGTAAACATTATCAAACAGCTGAGTAATACAGTACTAAAGAATAAGAAAAACAAGGGCGAGAAAACCATAATCATGTTATACTAAAAAAAGCTGTGTGAAAGGTGATTGGGTTAATGTACTTCAGAAACCATTTAATGTGACGTTGCCAAATCCAAGATTTTGTTAGCACAATACTGCGAGGCTGCCAGTTACCTACTCCCAGCAGTGTTGGAGTAAAAAGGTCATAAAAACTATATGTCAGTTTAGTAGTATGCATAGCCAAAACTCAATTTCTGGTCTGAAGACACATCAGGAAATAAGAGGAAATTTCAACAAAATAAGGACAATTCCTTTCCTAGACAGTTGTCACAGAAAAGGTGATCCTATTGGAAGATTTCACTTAACCTCTGGGTCAGGTGACAACTGTATGATTTTGGAATTCCCATTACTTTCTGTCTTAGTGACAGTGATCATCAGGACATATGGGAAGTAGAATCTTCCTAATGGGGAAACAAAAAAGAAATAAAAAAACTGATTGGAGTTATAATACATACCAATTTAAAAAAGAAGAAAAAAGCGCCACTTACAAAAAACACCAAAGTGTCAGCAGCATATCCCACCCAAAATAAATTTTGGCAACAATAATCCAAATTAAAAGGTATGCGCTAATAACAAACTTATACAAAAGTGTATGTCCCAGGACCGCCCCTTGATGACGTCGGTGTGACGAAACCGGTTGGGCGTAGCCTATTTGATGTGGACGTTAGAGAGCCTTGCTGGTCTGTGCTGTATGGGAGAGATCTGCGGTGAGCGTTAACTGTATCTCAACCCTTTTTTGCGATTGAAGCTGGTGTCTGTTGGACACCTTGTTTGTGAGTTTCCTTATACCTTTTTTATTAAAGAGATAAATGAAAAAAAACGTATTTCACCATTATGTTCTCTTTTTTGTCCCTGAGTGTACTGCATGCTCTCATGGAGGTATGAGACAGAGTGGAGAAGTTCATCATAAGAGCTTGGGCTGCAAAGTTGTTTGGCTGTGATTATTATCTGGAAGTATCTGAAACATCACCATATCTATTTGGACATCGGGTTCATTGCTCCCAGAGCACAGGCGCTGTTGCTGGTTTATAATCTGACCAGCCATTAGCTCTGGTGAGTTTATTTAATCTCCTTTGGTGGTGGATTTCTCACAATTGGTTCAAGTCACTGAAGATATATATATTTTTTTGGACACTAATTTATGTTTGGACACTCTAATTTATTTAAAACACTAATGTTTTTTGGATGATGACATACACTTTTGTATAAGTTTGTTATTAGCGCATACCTTTTAATTTGAGTTATAATACATGTTCTATCCAAAACTAAGAAAAAAATACTTTTTTTGATCATAGATACACTTTAATGATTTCAGTGGTTTGGATTATGAATACACTTTAATGAATCCAGTGTTTGGTGTGCCATTCATAGCACCTGATGCTCTTAGATATGAAAGATGAACATCTATAAGTGCAATATATGTAAGACAACTATAGCTTCTCCAGACCACAAGGAATGTATGTGAAAATGTACAGTGCAGTTTTATATATATATATATATATATATATATATATATATATACACACTGGCCACTTTATTAGGTACACCTGTTCTATTGCTTGTTAACTCAAATTGCAAATCAGCCAATTACATGGCAGCAACTCAATGCATTTAGACATCTAGATGTGGTGAAGACGACTTACTGAAGTTCAAACCAAGCATCAGAATGGGGAAGAATGGGGATTTAAGTGACTTTCAACATGGCATGGATGTTGGTGCCAGGCAGTCAGGTCTGAGTATTTAAAAAACTGCTGATCTACTGGGATTTTCATGCACACCCATCTCTAGGTTTTACAGAGAATGGTTTTGACAAAAGACAACATATCCAGTGAGAAGTGTGGACGAAAATGCCTTGCTGATGTCAGAGGCCAGAGGAGAATGGGTAGACTGGATCGAGAAGATAGAAAGGCAAAAGTAACTCAAATAACCACTCATTACAACCAAGGTATGCAGAATACTATCTCTGAATGCACAACACATTGTACCTTGAAGCAGATGAGCTACAGAAGCAGAAGGCCACACCAGGTGCCAGTGTACCCATCTTCTCATGCCTACTTCCAGCAGGATAATACACCATGTCACAAAGCTCAAATCATCTCAAACTGGTTTCTTGATCATGACAACGGGTTTACTGTACTCTAACAGCCTCCACAGTTACTAGATCTCAATAGCAACTGCATGACGTTATCATGTCAATATAGATCAAAATCTCTAAGGAATGTTTCCAACACCTTGTTGACACCTTGCTGAATCTATGCCATGAAAAATTAAGTGGCCTGTGAGTGTGTGTGTGTTTATATATATATATATATATATATATATTTATTTTTATTTTTTTTCATTTAATATTGCCGGTGCAATAAATGTTTTTTAAGAGCCAGGTAAATATGAAACTTTATTATTGGAGGCATGCCTTGAATTTGCTTGTTTTGGGAAACAGTTAAATTAGTGGGTTTAGTTCCACTTTAAATAACATTACTGTTTAGACCTCTTTCACATGTTTATTGTTAAGGTCCATTCATTTAGTTGCAGTGCAATTACTTTATGTGCATTAGCATGCTTTAATTTGTACATTAACATGTGCTTTTACACATACACAGCCCGATCAATGGTTCACATATAGTTCTACAACACTGTATGAGATTTGCCTTTTATGAATAAATGATTGTCAATGTTGGGCCAGTGCCATATCAGACAGAGTCCGACAGAGCTAATTGCTCATTCGTAAAAAATGAAAGATAAGTTAGAGCTGCAGTGCTATGCGATCCATCGGCCGGGGTCATGTATGTGTAAAAGCAGCTGCTGATAGACACCCAGAATTGCACACTGTGTGATTATTTTTTTTTTTTTTTCGTGAATGGCAGCACTAGTCTTCAGAGTAGCTCCAGCTGCCATAGACCAGAGCTGGCAATAACAAATCCATCTCCTTTCTAGCAATGCTGTCAGACAAAGGGGCAAACCTACCCAACCATGCTGCTTAGACAGATTTGATTGTGATCAAATGCTTTATGCACTTGGTCCTCGAGGAATTTAAATAGCATGAAACATTTTTAATGATAGTTCTTCTTTAGGGCAGCCCAATCATTTTGAAAGGGCAGTCAGTTGATCATCATACAAGTATAAATGAACCTGCCTCATTTTTTCCAGCCCACCACAACATATAGCATGTCCATGTCTCTGCATTGTGGTGTGATAAAACAAAGGTGGTTATACAGCAGCCTTTTTCAACCAGGGTGCTTTCTGGGTTCTACAGGGGTGCCTTGGCAAAATACCTAAAATGTGCTCCAAATTGCCCAACTATTGTGTACAAGGCAGTGGGTGATTCAAGCCTCCTTTTTTGTTACACAAACTCACAGGTTTCCTAACAAACTTTGATATCAATGGTTGATAAAGAGAACATCAAGCACTGCATAACATGCTTGTTTGACCCTCCACCCATCTCTGTCAGTATTGGGGTCACATTAGCTTCATGGGGAAGAGAAAATGAGGAAGAACAATTGCTGGAATACTAGTCAATACCAGTGTCCAAAAATATATTTGCTTTTAAATAATAAGTCACCACTAATGTTGGGTGTCTAATGTGTATAGATGCTGCTGTAATATGTAAAACTATGAGGTTGGTATTTTACATTTTAGAATGGGGTGTCTCGAAATTGTCCATAATTTTAAAGGGTACTTTGACTGGAAAAAGGTTGAGAAACTGTCAGGGAAGAAGAATGTCATAGCTGCACACACGTGCACGTGCTGACGTGCACAGACGTGTTATTTAAACCCCTGCTACAAACAGAATGGTGCCTTCTGTTCTACTACTTCCTGTTTCCTGTACCCTGACTCCTGTGATCCACTTGCTTGATTCTGACTACGACTGAACTCCGCCTGCACCAACCCGGCTCTCCCTTTTGACTATCCCTGGCTACCAGCTGTCACGGTCATCCACATCTCAGCTACACCTCTCTGCTGCTGCACCTGCTCACCTGCATACTGCTACCTGCATCCTGATATTCCGGGTCTTCACCTGCCAGCTGTCACCGCAGACCCGTCAGGCACTCGTGCCCCTCCCAGCTCGTTACTTCCTGTCTACCCTATCAGGGGTCCCGCACGTGAGTGGTAAGAGGACGCCCTCTCTCCACATCAGGCTCCACCACCAGGCACGTTACAGAAACACTGTTGTACAGTATATGTGCTCTCTGTAGCTGTCAAAATTAATGGCGGCGTACTGCAATGCATACCCATGTTCAATGTGTTCCGTGGTATTGTGCTGCCTAAGGGCCAATTTACACTATATGCAGTGACAGACGTTTTACCACATGGTAAAACATCTGTCACCGCAGGGACACATAGGAAGCAATTGTTTCCTATGTGTCCCATTCACATTGCAAAGCAGTCTAGCACTGCACTGCAGCATGCTGCAGTAACATGCAGACATGCTGCATTTTATTGCAGCTCACCACGCCGAATTGTACTGCAATATCAGGCAGCACAGTGCATTGCCCTCCCCAACATTGCAGTGAATGAAGTGTACATTTTGA